GTAGCAAACAAGGCACGTGCGTTGTTTTTGTTTTTGGTAATGATGTCAGAGAAGAACGATTGTCGTGCGTTTTTCAATTCCAAATTATAAAGGCCAAGTCTCTCTTTATAGATTTGAAAGTGAACCTGGAGATTTGTTTTTCGCCACCTGCGTTCAGCTTTTCGACATTCTCTTTTTTCTGTTTTCACGGTCATGGCCTTTCTCCATGGAGATATTTTCTTGACAGACACTTCCTTTACCTTAGTTGGAGCAATGGCATCTATAACATTTTTAATTTTTGAATTAAAATGATCTACTATCTCATTTACTGAGATGTTGGCAGGGGCAAGTGTGGAAGAGAAATTCTGAGTAAACATTTCCCTAGTATTTTCAGTTAAATATCGCTTTGTGGTTACCTCTTTTTGAACATTTTTGTGAACAGAAATAGAGCTCTCAAAGAAAACACAGGAATGGTCAGAGAGTGCAACATCAGTCACCACAACCTTAGAGATATTCACACCCTTTGAGATAATTAAGTCCAGAGTGTGCCCCTTATTGTGCGTGGGCTCCGTCACATGCTGAGTCAGTCCATAGCTATCAAGAACACAAAATAGTTATTTAGCCCCTCTGTCCTGGGGGTTGTCAACATGGATGTTAAAATCACCAACAATGACTAGACAGTCAAAGTCAATACACACTATAGACAGCAGTTCAGTAAAGTCATCAAAAAAGCTTGCGCAGTATTTGGGTGGTCTATAGATATTTAGGAACAGAGCTCGAGAGGAGCATTTCAGCCGAAGGGCCACATATTCAAAAGAATCAAAGTTTCCATACGCTGTCTTCCTGCATTGAAGGGAATCATTGAACAGAATAGCAACTCCACCCCCTTTCTTATGCATTCTTTCCTGACTCATAAAACTAAAGTTGGGAGGGGTTGATTCGATAAGAACAGCTGCACTGTTATTTTGTTCAATCCAAGTTTCTGTTAAAAACATAAAATCAAGATTGTGCTCAGTGATAAAATCATTGATTAAAAATGTTTTTCCTGCCAAAGACCTGACATTTAATAAAGCTAGTTTAAGTTTGTTAAACACACTATCAGTCATGTTTTTTGTAACAAGCTGTGGCTGACATGGAATCACTGCTAAATTAGATACACTCACACAAACGTTTGAGCGCTTCCTGTTTCTATGATTCACCGCTCTTAATCTATTACCTATCAACACAGATATCGGCAAAGCTACTGGCAGGCAGGGCCCCGACATGTCCTGGAAAGAGTTGAGAGTGCCATACGCCCTTGAGCCTGGACCCATCACATATCAGTAAGAGTTTGTTGTGTTTTGTACACACACATCCTTATCAGGCTTCGGAGACTGCAGATGCCCCCTCGAAGGAAGGGGAGGTGGTCGACGTAGGCACGGTGATGGAGACGGGCGAGATGGTGCGGGGGTAGAGGACATGCTGCCAGGGGGGGGAGGTGGTTGACGTAGGCGCGGTGATGAGGACGGGGGAGATGGTGCGCGTCTCCGCGGGGATTTTGGTGGGCGTCGTTGAGGAGCGGGGGTAAAGGACATGGTGCCAGTCCTGCATATCGCCTTCGTTTGGTCTTTGAACTCCAGGAAGGAATCGGTGCCAACCCTCTGTATCTCCTTTGTGTGTTCATCGATCTCCAGGAGGGTGGGCGAGGGTGAAAGGGTGAACGGAGTATCCTCAAAGGCGTTGACAGCGGGGGGGGGGGGGGGGTGTGACGGGCAGACGGGCAGACGGGCAGACGGGCAGTGGAGACTCCTCCACTTGTCTCATAGGTCTCCCATAATCAGAACATTCCTCAGGCGGGTGCAGTGATAATTCTTCAGGGTTTTCTGCGTGATGTGTTGTGTCTTTCTCCTGTTTTGATTCCTCTTGCCGCTTGTCCTTGGCAGAGGGAACAGATTGATGACGCAGGCAGTTGAATATGTTGGAGATAAACAATTTCACTCCTGACTTGTTCAGGCAAACTCCATTTGCCTTGAAAAGATGTCTGCGATCCCAGAAAAAGTTAAAATTGTCAATAAAATGAACAGAATGGTCAGTACAGGCCGTTGAAAGCCAGGTGTTCAGTGCAAACAATCTGCTGAATCTCTCCACTCCTCTTCTGACTGGCGGTAGAGGGCCACTGATGAACACCTCTGCATTTAGAGAGCTGGCAGTTTCCAACAAACATTTAAAGTCTTCTTTCAGCACTTCTGACTGTTGTTTCACAACATCATTTGTTCCAATGTGCAGTACCACATTCTTCACAGTCGGATGTTCAGCCCCAATATGCAGGATCTTCCCAGCCAAGTCAGAGACCACATCCTTGGGAAAACAGAGTACTTTGGTGTTGTTCTTATTACACAGACCTTTTACATCTCTTACAGCAGAGTCACCCACAATTAGAGTTTCAGGCCCAGTCGTTAGCTTTCCCTCTAGCCTTTTACTTTTAGAGTAGCTATTGGTCCTTACCCTGCTGCGTGAAGAGGACAGGTTATCCAGGTCATCAGATCTCCGGTTCTCGGTCAGCGGAGCGTATCTGTTCTGGATTGGCACACTTGGTGGTTTAGGAGGATTGTTTGTAATTCTCCCTTTAGCAGCTGTCCACTGCTGTTTCCTAGTATGAATAGGGGGTTGAAGAGGCGCTCTTCCTGGGTGATAACAATGCAGGCCAGCCGGTCGCATCACAGATTTCGGAGCTCTGGGCTCTGCCTGTTATCCGTCCTCCCAAATCCCATGGAAATGATTTACTCTTAGACTTTGCACCCAGAGAGTTCCAGGGAGGACTACCACTTGTAGATTTATTACCCGGTACACAGCCCTCCTGTTCCTTGGAATCCTTGTAGCTGCTAACTAGCTGTGAGTTAGCATACCCTTCTCCATTATTTTGCAACACTGGTAAAGTCGTGTCATTCCCACGACATAGTCCATTCATTTCCACGTTAACTTCCAACCGTTGCATTTTCATTTCCAACACAGCCATCTTCTGTATAAGTTTCTGGAAGTCATCTGTAGAGAACGGAGGCATTTTGCTACCAACTAGCTAAATAGCAGTAGCCTACCAGGCTTTAGCTGTTGCTAGGCCACGCTATTGTAAGACTGACGTCGTCGTAAAAATGTTGAAATATGGCTGAAACCCTCCGTCTATTTACGAAGATGAACTGTCCCAGTGATAAGTTAATGTCCAGGAGCCGTTGCTCGAAGTTTTCAGAGAATAAGAATAGGAAAATCAGCATACAAAGTAAGCAGAGGCAAGAGCAAGCAGAAAAGCGTCTGCACTGTAAGAAAGATAAGCAAGCACATTATACATTTTTTAATGTCATATAGTATTTCATAATTGTTTTTAATTTATTTATATTAATGGTGACCAAAATGTTTGAGACCCACTGAGATAACACTGAGAGAGTCCTTTAGCTCACTGAGTCTCTCAGTCTGACAGGAGAGGACTCTCCTCCACTTTGTTGTTGAAAAAACTCCTTATACCCGTTAGCGTAGCTCGCTAGCACCATAAGCTAACATCAACGATCTCCGGTATGCTCTCTCTCTCTCTCTCTCTCCCGCTCGCGCACACACACAAAATGGCTCGTTCCACATACACACACAGAGCCGAGCTTTAATGAAACACAGACACCCAGACGTAATAGTACTGTATCATGTTATTTTCGAATCAATAATTTTTCAAAATATGATTTTTTATTTTTATTTTTTTTATTTTTTATTTTTTATTTTTTTATATAATTAAAAATCTTTTTCTTTTTTTTTTTTTTTAATAACCATTTTTTCTCCTGGTCTCTCGCGCCCCCCCCTGTCATGCCTCTGCGCCCCCCACTTTGAGAACCACTGCACTAACTCCTCAATGGTAACGTGTGTATGTGGAACTTCCCCTTCGATTCTATTGGCTCTAACGGTTCTAAAGAGGTGTCAATCTCTCTACAAAGGTCAAATGTCACTTGTTTTGCATCAATCTTGATACAGGGTACTTATTATATGGATTCCTAAAGCTTTTAGTCTACTATCCCATCATTCAAGGGTGGTTTTCACTATAAGTAATGGGTTTATTTTTGGACACACTATAATTTACATTTTTTGACTATGTTCAATCTGAATTTACTTTAAAATAAAACAATTCTATATTGATTCTGACTTTTCTACATCCAACTCACAGGTTTATCATTGCTTTGAGAAAAAAGATTATTAATTTATCCTTTTAGAAGGGAAGATATGGTCATTTGTTCTGGGAATGTCATTTTCAAGCCTGAGACCTGAAAAACCGGCTTGGGGCTTAAGAGGTTAATCGACCTGGGCAGTGTGTTTTTACTATAAAAATGTAAGAGTTGGACATTTAGAGCACACCCGTACTTTGTGATAAACCGTTCACAGTGAAGTATGATCTTCATTAACTAGTGTCATGGATGTTGTGAGTGTTATGATGTGGTCTGGCCACTAGAGGGCAAGCTTCCCATTTGTCTTGCAACACAACATGTTTGTGTTGGTTTACAGCTGATAGAAATAGAGAGGGGTGAAAGAAACATTTCAACTCACAGCGTCCAGCAGCCAAACAGCCCAGAACACAGAAACTGGACAGAAATAACATCCGTTATAATCTTAAGTATTTTACAAAACAATAAAATCACTTTGCTTTTAATGATTTTTCTTATACAAGACAAAGCAGGAACCACAAACTAAGTCGTGGGAGAAACTCTCATTTCACAACCAGTGCTTCTGGTCCGCTTACCTGAAGCTGAAAATTGTACTGAAAATAAAACGCCTTTTTATGTTTACCTTTCTTGGTTCATATTTGTATGTTAAAGTGTCAAAGACAAATTGTAGGTAATGACTCATTTCTGTTCTATAAAAAAAAAGTGTATGTATTCACAACATGTCTACATCACGAAGCCTCATTTAAATAACAAAAAATAACTTTTAAGGTAGGTTTTAAAAGTGAATACTAATTAATTTCCTTCTTTTCTCCTTTGAACTCTGCTTTCCTTTCTGTTGGCCATCATCAGGTCAAAGAGGAGCTCCAGGCCAACGGGCAGTCTGGAACGGACTTTGACGAGGATGATGAGGAGGCTGAGGAGTGTAAGGAGGTGGAGGAGGAGGAAGAGGAAGAGGAGGGGCTGATGCTGAAGGAAGAGCCGAAGGACGAGGTGAACGTGGAGGACGATCTGGAGTACTACAAAGAGCACATCAAGTTCATCGACAACATGCTGTTAGGGTCCGGAGCATTTGGCAAGAAGATCTCTCTGAGCAGCTTCCCCCCCTCCCTCACCCCGGCCTCGGCTTCCGCCCCTGCTACGGAGACCCCATACGAGTGGAAGCCCCCGAAGAAGCCCCACCATCCCACCGCAGCCCACTACCCCCCCGAGCCGGCGCCCAGCGGGCCCTCAGCCGAGGAGTTTGACTACAGCTCGTGGGATGCCATGTGCTACCTGGACCCCAGCAAGGCGGGGGAGGAGGACGACTTCGTGGTGGGCTTCTGGAACCCGTCGGAGGAGAACTGCGGGGCGGAGCTGGGCAAGCAGTCCATCTCCTACGACCTGCACACGGAGCAGTGCATCGCCGACAAGAGCATCGCCGACTGTGTGGAGGCTCTGCTGGGCTGCTACCTCACCAGCTGTGGAGAGAGAGCCGCCCAGATGTTCCTCTGCTCCCTGGGCCTCAAGGTGAGCCACAGGCCAATCATTCCATGTTAATAAAGGGAGTCTCATACAGGCAAATTATAAAAGACACATTAAAAAGATGAATAAAAAGTGAATAAAAGAGTCAAGGACCATGGTGCTGATGTAATTCATAGCCGGTTTTAGCCACATTGTGCGTGGTGTGATTAGAGATGTGCTGGTTACCATGGTGAAACACTCCATATAATATTCTAATATTCAAATATAATAACTCCAACTATTTATTTTTCCGCAAATACTGTGATTATTGCCATTTTCAGATGGCACTGTGAACACCACCTGTCCAATCTAACATTAGCTGGGGAAGGGTTCCTAAAGCTCAGTGTGGGAGATGCAGGTGTGTTCTGAGACTCACAGAGGAAACTCCGTCCAGTGTGCCTGCTCCACGTCTTGGGACAGGAGGGTTCACAGCTGGGTCTCAGACAGCAAGGACATATTTTAATATCCCACACCTGTTCTGGTCATATTTTCTGTGTTTATTGATCAGCTTAAAAACAACTGATAGGAAAGCTATATAACGATTGTCATTTTAAAGGCATGGGGGTTTGTCTTTTATTGAGAGTAGCATATGTGACCCGCTCTATTGAAATCAGTCGGAAGTCGCAACGGCTCATTTCAAAATAAACGTGGATTTGCGTAAAAACAATTGTTTTTCGGGGTTCGTGTGTTTTTGTTTGTATTTAAATAAACAAAGTCTTGGCTTTCAGAATATGAAACTTTTATTTCCAAAATCACACGATAAATACATGTTTGAAGCTTGTAAAGGGAAGATGACAGGCACCTCTCACTCTCCACTCTGCTGTTCCGCAGCTCTGCTTCCCCTCCCTCCCTCCACACACACTCCCGAGCTTCCCCCAGACCAGTAATCCAAACAAAAATATCTTCCCTCCGTAGTATTTTGATCATTTGCTCCGCTAATCAATCAGATCGATGGATTCCAGAGAAGAGGAAACTTTAAAGGCCTTTTTCTCAAAATGATGACTCGGTGACAGTCATTATATAATGTGACATATTTCGCTTAATATTTGGAGTACAAAAACACAACAGTGTATACAACTCAAAATGTGTCTTCGGGTCAATGCGACTGATTTCGATGGAGCAGCTCACATATTTCAAATAGTACGAGTCCTGTGGGTGTCTGCGGGGTCTTAAAAAGTATTAAAAGTTGATAAATCAATTTAGCGAAAATTAAGGCTATTAAAAAGTATTAAACGGCATTTTCCAAGGTATTAAGAAGGTCCACAGCAACGACAACATGAAACACCCTTTAATTGACTGAAACAACATGTCGGGAAACCCCCTCAAGGTGGCCCAATGCATAGCGTGCCATAACATGCTGCTTCTTATTTTAAGTTTCGTTGCCTTGCTCCGCTCTGTGGGGGCGGGGGGGTGGTGTGTGTATCTGCTGGTGGACTACCTGAGAGATATACAGCAGGAGAACACGCCGTCCACCGCGGAGAATAAACAGAAGGGCAACCATGCTCCGGGGTCTTCTTCGCTGCTTTTGGTGTATTTTGTGGCGGCAGCAGCGCCACTTACAGGCCTGGCATATGTACTACAGCGTTTCCAGCATTTCCAGCGGTCTAGTGTGAACGGACACGTTAATGAATCGAATGCGTGTGAACGGAAGACTTTTTTGCGTTTGCGTATGTGTTTTAGGCCCAATCCCAAACCACTCCCTCGACCCTACCCCTCCGTGACGGAGTGAACTCCGTCTGTAGCCACACTCGCAGCTCAACGAGGCTCCCTCCTGTCAGATGGAGGGAGTAAATACAGCAGCAAGCTTTGGGACGGCCTCCACTCTCTCCGGCAGAAACAGGAAATGCCGTAACTGTATGTAACAACGGTTTAAAATCAGCATCTATTAGACAAAAAGTTTAAATGAATAACTCAAATAAAACTCCAAACATCTTTCATTGTGTTTCAAAGCTCTTTTAGTTTTAAACCTGATGTTTATAAGCTTCTTAGTTTTTGCAACGGTCTGTAAATATACACAACTTTATAATAAAATGCACAATTTTACCTTTTTCTAGACTAAACACAGGTATGATCCTAAGTTAAAAACATATGAGGTTATCATGAGGTTGTTAACATCGCAGTTTATCAGTGGATGTTTGCTGGAACTACTTTTTAACAGCTTGTTTCCCGACGGACACACACAGCGTGACTCCGGTCAGGTAGAGACCGGTCTCAAGTCAGCACCGCTGCAGACTCGCTGTTTGAGGGCTTGATAGCCCACTCCCCCTCCACACCGCTCCACACTCGTTGCTTTGGAACAGCCCTTAATATGGCGGACCCTCCGCGTGAACGCGCAAACGGAGGTGTAGGGTGTAGGGTGTAGGGGTGTTGAAAATAATCGTTTCTACGATGCATTGCGATGCGGACGTGGACGATTCGGTCTCGATGCAGTGACGGAAGATAATCGGTTTATAGCGTAGTAACGTTGCTTCCTGATTTTCCGGCCGCGGCTTTACTATAAAGTTTTTTTTTTCTGTCACTTTAATATCAAATCGGTCGGTGACGCAGAGATCAGGGAACAGACGGCACAGCAACACCAAACACGGAGCAGTCTGCTTTATCCACCAACACAACACCACCAGTCCAGAACCAACAGCAGCAGGACCCGCTCTGAATCACTCCGTGTCGCCGTGGCACAGGGATTTATGTTTTTCAAAAATAATCGCGTTACAATCATGTCAGGTTTTTGGTGGATTTAATTAAGTCTTCGATTGCAAAGTATGAATGTCCTCAAGCAATTTTCAGACGATATATACGTGTGTAAAGTTTGTGAAGGCAGGAGGAAAAAAGCTTCCGCGATCACCGTCTCCTCTGTTCCTCTAAGCCCCGCCCCCCCTGAAAATAATGAGTGACAGGCTGATAGTGACCCGATAGAAACTTTATTATTCACTTAATCACTGAGATATAATTAAGCTAACTTAATCTCATACATTCATGGGATTTATGTAACAGTAAGACAGAGAATGTAAGTGTGCACCCACATGCAGTATTTTTGTTGTTATATGCTGTTGTAAATACTCCTGTTGTATGATGTGTTCAGACTCAAGTCCTGTGTGTGATGCTACATTCAGGACATTCAGTGTCCTTTCTTTAACAGAAGACTGTTGCTAGAAGCTGCAGCTAGACTGCAGAAGCATTATTTTTTTGTTTTTGAGGATGGAACAACTTCACACACAGATATAGGGAGGCTAGACCTATACAATTCATTTATTTTGGTTTATAAATTAATGTCAAGACATTTGTTATTAATTTCTGAAGCACTTTCTAAATAATAAAAAGAGAGTTCATATGTATTTACTGCATGTATTCATTGATGAAAAATAAGCCATGTGCAGTAATATAGAACATTGAGGATGCAACGCATTGGTATGAATCGTGATGCATCGGGATATCGAATTGAATCGAATCGTTGACAGGATAATCGTAATCGAATCGTGAGACCAGTGAAGATGCACAGCCCTAGTAGGGTGTAGGGGGCGGTTTGGGAATGGGCCTTACTGTATGCGTCCTCGTGGGGCCGGGGTCTAAGCCAAACTATATCCGGTCACAGAGTTCTGCTATTTTAAAGTAAGGTCAACACATATCGACCCTAAATATATATATTAAGAACGAGAAAAGTCTTAACATATATATCGTTTTTTGTAAACATATGACAAATGTGTGAGGGTGATGACGTCAGAGCATCGTCCTATGTGCCGGGCTTAGCCCCGGACAGCCCCAGCCCAATTGAACCCCTGGGTATTTGTGAGGGAGCTCCTATATGGCATTACCCCGCTGAAGCTCACCAAAGTTTAATATATTTCATAGTTCAAAGTTTTGTCTATTGTTTTGTTTATTGGTCAAATCCTGGTTTCTAATGGTTTCTGAGGAGTTCTACTGGAATGAAAGAGCACAGAGTACAGAAGCAACAAAGCAGCATACTGCATTAAACCTGACCTTCACAGAGAGGTTGAAGTTCATGTGGAGAGGAGGCTTCAGTAGTCTGTCTGCACTCTGTTTAGTTGTGCTATCTTACAATCAATATAGTAAATGTGAGGTAAAGTGTGTCGCCAATGTAACCGCTTAGAACTCGAAGTTGCGATGAGGTACTAAAATATATGGAAAGGGTCTTAAAAAAGGTCTTAAGAGGTATTACATTTGACTTCAGGATTCCTGCATATACCCTGTGTCAATAGATTTGTGCATAACGCAAACTAGGGGTGGGCGATACAGTGTGCGAAAAAGTACACGTCCCACCGTCCGGGACGTGTTATTTACAATATCGGACAAGTAGATCTTTCAATTGACTTGTCCGGCGGACAAGTGACGTTTTTCGGCCTGATTTATTGACAAATTATTGATACATTCAGTTCGCAAATTGTACGTGTCCACCATTGTTCGTTTAGAAATGTTAGTTTCGGTTCTGCTTGTCGATTCCTAAGGAAATGCATCTCGCCGTTTTCTGTACAGTTAGACGGGGGCGGAGCGGGGTGGGAAGTGTAGCACAGTGGCAGGGTTGGGAAGCAAAATACGGTTCCGAGTAGGAACAAATAACAATTGTCCGGTACCGGGATTAATAAGAGTTGTGAGGACCAGGAGGCGAGGCCGAGCCCCGCGGACCGCAGCTCTCTCTATGCTCCGTATCAGCTGATCGCTGCACGGTGCAACTCAGCGTCTCTCTCTCTTTCTACACACAGCGGATCCGCTGCCCGTTTAAACAGCCTCATCTTTGTCAAACTTTCTTATGTTCTTTCTCTAACACGTAATGAAGGTTATTAAGTGTTTTAACTCTTATGTTGTTAATATTGACCGCCATTTCCTTTATGAAGTGAAACAGCCTCCCTGTCTGTGTCCTCGCGCTGTCCTCACATCCCCGGACCCCCAGACTCGGAGGAGCACAGGGATGTCAGTATTGTTTATGAAGCAGGGTATAGAAAGTACATTATTGAAATGAAAATACTATTTATTTACTTTTACAAACAGGCCTATAATAGGCCTATAGGCTATACATCTAATGTGTCATTATTATTATTATTATTAGGTTATGTCCTATGTGTTGGACATGTGTGGTTGGACTCTGTCTCACAGGCAGGTTGCAGTGTAACATCAGAGGACACTGGGCCAATTGTACATTCTCAAACTGCACCACTTAGAACTAACTAATCAATGCAGAGATTATTTTTATATAATTGTATTCAATAACCGTAAGAAATTAAACAGTATGAAGTGATTTGTAAATAGGAATACAGATTTGACTTAATGTTTTCATAGATATGTTTTTCTCCCAGTTCGTCATGGGACTTATTTACCCTCTCAAAGAACCGGAATCGAAAAGCAGAACCGGAATCGTTAAAATCCAAACGATACCCAACCCTATGTGTGATGCAGTAAAATCTTACCGCTCACTTACTACTCTCTAAAAACTTTTTCTCACACTGGCGATATTGAAAAATATAATATCACGATATTTTTCAAGCAGTATCACGATAGGCGATATTTATCACGATATTTTTTCATGTCGGTTATTATGGTTATTTTTCAAGTTACTTAACGGTACAAGGTAACAAAAACTAAAATAAAAAGGAGTAACAAACCAAAATACCATTTCAAGCTGGTTTTAATTCTGCAGTGAATCCCTGAATGAACAATTCAACAGGAATTTTGATATGGCTTCCTCAGTGTTCAAGTAGGTAGGCCTACACCCTACAACAAACGTTAAAGAGCCTGTGACAGCATCCCAACAACTGTTGTGCAATGAAATATTGGGCTACTAGTAATCTCGAACCGTCAGTTTAAAAAAGAGAAAGCGATACCGTTCCGTTAAATATCAATAATTTCGAACATCGCGGGGAAATTCCTTCGACTCATTTTGAAGTTTTGGGGGAAGCCGGAAGTGACGTCAATGCGGGAACGCTTCACTGTGCGGCGAGAGAGCCAAACACGGACAAAGTGTGTTGTCATGCGTAGAAATGGTGAATTACTGAGTTTAGGCACGTTAATAACGTTTTAATGAAGTTGACTACAGTATATTCATATTTGTCAGTGCTTTCATGTCAATTCGGCGAACATAAACATAAATGATCGTGGTTGAAGATGATGATTACATTAGGATTAAAAATCGGTAGTGAGAGCTACTGAATTTCCTCCCGTAGGATGTGATATAAAACAAATCGATTATTTTTGTAGTTGTAAACTCAAGTGGATGAAACTACATGTATTAGTGCTTTCATGTCAATTCGGCGAACATATGATACATTAAATGATCGTGAGAATGATGATTAAAAGTCGTTTGTTTGTGCCGGTCTGCATTTCCTGATGAGAAAACAAACCGATGCTTTTTGTAGTTGTAGTACACCAACATGGATTAAACGTGTGTTTTTTTCACCACAATGTTGGGGAAATTAATGGATAAAATGCACGGATTATTATTATTATTATTCCCACTCCGATCGGGACACTAGGTCCACCGTTTCCCCGCAGCGAGGCTCCCCCGTTGACAGTTTACGTGGAATGGGTGCAGTGGCGGACTGGCCATCGGGACGAATCCCGATGGGCCGGTACCGAAGTGGGCCGGTCGGATAAGTCACTAGCACATCCCCCATAGGCGGCGCGTGAGGCTCAGGTTTGGGAAGGCTAAATAACTTTGTTTACCTGACGCTGCCCACCTCCGGCGTCTATAGAAAAGAGATCAACTCAGTGTGCGGAGTTTAAATCTCTCAAGTCATATTACAGGATAAAGGAAATACAGTTTAAACTGCCGTATGCAGAGAAGACGCCGACGTGTCGCACTTATCATTCATATTACATCATCAATCAGATCATCGATCATATAATATCATAATATATCATATATTTCCTTATCAGCCGTATCTGGCCGTGCAACACTTACAGTGTCACATACTGTATGCAGAAGTATTATTTTAAGCAACACATTATGTTGACGAAACACTCGAGTCAAATGTAATTAAAGTCAGATCCACTCGTGTCTTAGACGTGAACGCGCTCTCAGCTGGAGAGAAACTCTGGCTTGATTTACCGAGTTGATAACCAGCGTCGTAGGACCGCTTAGCGAGATCTCGTTTGTTAGTTTGTTGTTGTTAGTTTGTTTGTTACTCAAACATATCCAGGCTCTGTTGAACTGGCTTCGTAGTACAGGGCACAGGTGGCTAGCAGCGCTAATGTCAAAGACACAGACATTGCATTATATTTGTATTTTACGAGGATGCAGTGACACAAATATTTACATATTTACATTTACTATCTACAGCGCCCGCCGCCCCTGACATCCCCCACTCCCCCCCGTTGACAATTTACTAGCGGTACCGAAGTGGGCCGGTCGAGAGTCCCGGGATGATTTTTAGTCCCATTCCACCACTGGCAACATGACCGTATGATCGCCCATATTGACGCACCTAATTCCTAAACTTCTAACAGATACAACATAAAGCGATCCTTCAGCCTCATATGAGCTCTCAGACACGTTCAACATTAAACTGTCATCGCTGTCTGAGCTTGCTGCTGTGTGCACCATCGTGCGTTTACATGCAGATGCTGGGATCCTGAACGGTGCAGCTGGAGCGCTGTGCCCGCAATGACGTCACACATCATTTGGCGGGACTTGAAGAATCCCCGAGAAGATCCAGAAAATGGTCAACATTGAAGGGCAGATTAATGGTTATCAAAGTACAAATATCCAAAATCAGTTCAGTAACGGTTTTCAAGGGGACAATATTTACTCAAATTGATGGGTTTGGATGATGGGGAAAACTCGTGTCACAGGCTCTTTAACACTGGTTTCTTCACCAAGTAAAGTGCACTCTCTTGCTAAATAAAATAAAATATTCAAGGCACAGTTTCTCAGTATAAAAATGCACTTTCTGTTTTAGGCAGCACTAGCAGTGATGTAACATCAATAAACATGAAAAGGAGAGTAAAACTTAACTAAGTACAACATAAAACATCAATGAGGAAAAGTCAGTGCCAAACAATTAAAATGTAAACTTTAGACCTTGAAGTGCAATCAAAGACTTTAACATAACTGAACATCGGTTTCAAAAGGGAAAAACAATATAAATACCTTATTGATAAAATAAAATATAAGCCAACAGAATCAACCAAGACAATAAATGAAGTGCAATACTGTCTGAATCCTGACTAGACAGCTTGGGTTTTACTAACCGTTATCAGTATTTAGTTACTTGCTTCGGCATAATTTTGAAAGGTGTATTACAATTAAATCACGGTAAAATAGGTTAATTTTGTCATAGTTGGTTTCCACCACAGTATTTACATGGATATAAGCCCCGCCCCCTCTCCAGCACGTCCTGTTTGAATGACAGGAGTAAACACAGCTGACAGCCGCGGTGAAACTCCAGCGGTTAGGGTGAGAATATTCGCATTGCGTCCGTTGTGAACGCAGCATAATGCAGTTCAGAAACCACTGTTCTGACTCTTTTAAAGCGTTTAAAAACGTCGAGATTTTAACAGTATCAGGGGCACACAGGCCATGGTGGCCGTAGGACGTACAATTATTTTCAGGGCTTCACGGCCAGACCGGCCGTCATGGCCGCCGTGAAAATCCTACCCTGGTGCACTATCACGATAGATATGATATCTCTGAAAAGGCATATCGTGGAGATCTAATATCGTGGAGACCTAATATCGTCTCGACGATATACATCGTCATATCGCCCACCCCTAACGCAAACACAGATCTATATTATGCAAGCCTTAATCAGACCTCTTAACACAAATAATTTCCCTGAGCTTAAGGCATACATAAAACTAACCACACTACGTGTTAGCCTCAGCCTGGCTGTTCACATTTATTTAAAGAGTTTTTCTGACTGATTTAATACACGTGTAATTGTGCTAAGGGGAAACTATTTTCTTCTGGCATTATTATCAGAGAGACTTAAATTGGTGACTTCAACAGATGTTCCTGCTCAAAGTCAGGTTAATACCGGCCATGGTAAACACTGCCACCGTCCCCATGTCTGGCCCAGGTGATAGCTGCTCCTCCAAACGCAGATATTAACAGTTGTTTTTGATGTTGACAGGTGTTACCGATGGACAGGGGGGCTCTGACGGGTGCCGTGGTGCTAAGCGGTCAGACCAACACTTTGGACCTGAACTACGGCTGGCTGAAGATCCCCCCCCGCTCCGTGCTGGACCATCATCCTGACCCAGAAGGAACTCTCACCCACCTCATCTCCGGCTTCGAGAACTTTGAAAGAAAGATCAACTACACGTTTCAGAACAAGACCTACCTGCTGCAGGCCTTCACTCACGCTTCCTACCATTACAACACCATCACAGGTCAGAACCATGTTTACTGTAGTGTTACCAGTACAGGTCAGAACCATGTTTACTGTAGTGTTACCAGTACAGGTCAGAACCATGTTTACTGTAGTGTTACCAGTACAGGTCAGAACCATGTTCACTGTAGTGTTACCAGTACAGGTCAGAACCATGTTCACTGTAGTGTTACCAGTACAGGTCAGAACCATGTTCACTGTAGTGTTACCAGTACAGGTCAGAAAGAACCATGTTCAAGAACTAGAAGTATATGTTGATAAAAAAAGAGTTATTTATAAATGATAATAACAGTGCTGCAATACATCTGAATGTTTATTTCGATTAAATGCAACATGACTAACATTCAAAATAGTTTTTTCATTGGACATTTCCAAATTAAAGTCCAAGCTAGTTCAAATACATATTGCATTTACACAGACTAAACTGACCGGTGGAACCGAACTAAATGAAAAAACTTTGGATTACTGGAAATGGTCAACAAACCTAGGGTTCCAAAATTCCAGGAATGTTCATGGTGAAAACTCATGAACATAAAAGAAACATTTAATTGACTGGGTTATTTGCTTAGGCTGAATTGACTGTGTTCTATACAGATAGAAACAACCTCTTACAATCATAAGCATCTCTTTTAGAGAAATGAAAACACTAACATTATCATGTCTGACGTCTATTCTTCCTCTTCAGATTGTTACCAGCGACTGGAGTTCCTCGGCGATGCAATTTTAGACTACCTCATTACAAAGCACCTTTATGAAGACCCCCGGCAGCACTCCCCGGGCGTGCTGACCGACCTGCGCTCAGCACTCGTCAACAACACCATCTTTGCCTCTCTGGCCGTCAAGTACGACTACCACAAGTACTTCAAGGCCATCTCGCCCGAGCTTTTCCACGTCATCGACGACTTCGTTCAATTCCAGCTGGAGAAGAACGAGATGCAAGGCATGGACTCTGAGGTGAGTAGACCGAAACACAGTGAGCAGCAGTACTGAACAATAAAACCTATCAGTCAATCAAAGTATGTTCATAGAGCACAATATCACTTTTGTTTCATTTACAGTGTGTTAAGTCACCAAACAGCCTAAGCCTCCGCTGCATAACTAAACCTTGAACCAGCCCTAACTATAAGCTTTAGCAAAACATCAAGTGTTAAGCCTACTCTTTCATGTGTAATTGATGCTGTAGTGTTTTCCCATTTCAATAAGCGTCAGTATTCCAAAAGATCCCCCTGAATAACAAGGCTGTTTCATATTCCCATGATTTCAGCACTAAAGAGAAAATGCAGTTGGATTGAATTTGTCTGGAAAGGGCTATCTTAGCACCAGATCTCCTCCCATTCTTCTGCTGAGGGACTTTTTATGCCTTAGGGACAGCAGGCACATATTACACAAACATACAGGAAGTACAGCAGGAATAATGTGCTGCACTCACGAGCCTGCTTGAAACTGTTCCATGTAGTGACCCACAGCAGATCATTCTCTACAGGTTCTTATTTCATGCTTTTTCAAGAACAGCATGAAATATTGGGTTGACTTCCGTTCATATATTTATAACACGTTTAGGGTTGTTTGATCATTTCCAAATCAAGATATGTTTGGGAGTTTTGGAATCTTTGCACAATTTCAACACTTTTTGATTGTTAACTTATTTTGTATTGAAAATACACATACATTTATTACATACATTTATATTTACCTTCTTCTGCTAGTTTTTCTGATCCAGCCATTACCGTATGTGTGACGCTTGATTGAGCATCCTAGTTTATCCTTAAGTTTGCAACAGCCTGTTGTTAGCGTCACATTTCAAGTAGCATTCCCCATTAGCTAACTTGCTAGCTAGCTAATGTACCACATTTGACACTGTATGTATATGAGAAATGAATGTTTAAGCAATAGCTCACGACAGGCCGAACCACGCCCCTTAGCTGTGATATAATGAGCATATATCACGGCCTGAAGTGAGCTATTGCTTTATAAAACGGTTACCAAGTGTGGCAATATGAAAAAAAAATACACTCTAATTTAAATAGTTTTTATTAGTAAATAATGCGCGAAACATAGTTGATCCATTATTTGGCTATTTATTTACATTCATTTGTATGTTGCCGTTTATTGTGCACCCACTGAAAAACTGTCCAGCATCAGCAGAATAGCTTACGTGGTTGTTCTAGGCTGTTGCTTGGGCGTGGCGAGAATATTGCTCCACTTTCTCCGGTCCCCGAGATTGGGCTTCCAGTAGCTCTGGAGAGAGTATTTGCACCTGTGGCCACTAACGGTCATCATTTCTCTGCTTTGTTTCAAGACCCGCATCAGAAAGCTTTTGAATGGTGGTACTTTTCCAGTTGGTCTACCTGCTCTTCACGTAGCTCTGCATGTCGTCGTTTAGGTGCTTTTTTTTTTCTGGAGATAGGCACTGCTCAATCCACTCCTCCATAGTAAGACCCCCCTGGAGGTCAAAGTTAATCTTAAATGTTTCCATGTTATGCTTTGTAAGTTTGTTTCGTAACGGAAGAAATGTAAATATATTTCTAAAACTGACAAGTCAAATCAAGCAATCTGATTGGTCGATAGTGTTTTTGCGGACCTCTTTGATTACAGATTTGGAAACATCGTTGCTTGCTTTAAAAGTAGCACAACTCATTATGTCAAACCTTGGAAAGTATCTAGAAATCTCTGCCCTAATGCCAAAGGAACTGCACACTGAATATGTTTTGCCGTTTGATGTGTAGGCCTATTTCTGGACCGCTGCGTAAAAAGGAGGGTTTCTACCCCGTTACTTCTCCGCTGCTTTCTTGTTCCAGTATGAAAAGCAAACTGCAAGCAGTTTGCTTTTCAGCCGAACGATATACTGTTTTTCTCAGACGCGGAGGGATACTGATTTGTTGTGAAAAGTAACTTACAATTCTACCCGTGGTATACGCTTAGTATATCACGGGTAAGAACCAATCAGATTGCTTGATTTGACTTGTCCGTTTTATAAATTTAATTAATTAATTATTTAATTAGCCAATTCATTCATTTTTCATTTAATGGTTTATTTGGCAGGGACAATGCACAGTAATGAACACTTAAGACATTAAAATGTATCAAGCGTAACAGTGCCAGATTTAACTTTGAGCTCATTTCCATCCGCAGTCCCTCACATAAAACATATAAGAACATTATATTTTACAAACATAGCAAAAACAAAATCCATGATATGCAAAAAGAGCAAGAGCAGCATACAAGTATTTACCACATGGCAGTACAATATAGCAGCTACGACAGGGGTAGGCACGTTTTTTTGCTGAGCCACAAGATGGCGGGCCAGAACATAATCAAAGCCTAATTCAAGGAATTGATTTTGGTAAGAGGGCGCAGCGCCCCTGTTCCCCGGTTCAGAAAAAACTCTATCGCTGATAACCCTCCCCATCAACACTCTGATGCGCAGTCAGATCTGCTGATTGGTTCACTGATTATAAAGGCCCCAAATCCAGAGCCTCTGGCTAGACCTGCCCAAAGAGAGGCTCGTCCTCTCTAGCCCCATTTCAGTCCCAAAGCCAGGGCTATTATCTGTATTTTAACAGACTTATCTTTTAAATTGAGGTGTATTTATTGTTCTCTTTCAAAATTTTATTTTTCTCTGAAATGTTAGGGAGGATGGTCCTCCCTTTCCTCAATGGACGAGCCTCCACTGAGTAAAGTAGAGTTATTACTAGGTAGCAGTGTTATTAACATAATTGTATTCTGATAAGTATTGTCAAGTTCTCTGGGTTTTTGACATTTATTTGAGTGTTTTGCCACATTTGAGAGGCTTGGAGGGGCAACAGAAGGACGCATGGACAACTGGAATCCTTTTTCCTTTTCTTTATTTCAACTTTTCAAGGACACATTAGGATTCTTTCAGGTTGAAAACCTTTAAAAAATATCAAAGGACAAAATAAATCAATTACAGCATGTTTTGCTTTGCAATTTAATATTGTATAGGCCTTCAACTCACACCTCCGGCGGAGCTTTTTGCAAGAGGAGATACAAGTGCTACATAAAGTGAGAGGAGATAAAAGTGCTACATAAATTGAGAGGAGATAAAAGTGCTACATAAAGTGCAAGAGGAGATAAAAGTGCTACATAAAGTGCAAGAGGAGATAAAAGTGCTACATAAAGTGAGAGGAGATAAAAGTGCTACATAAAGTGCAAGAGGAGATAAAAGTGCTACATAAAGTGCAAGAGGAGATAAAATGGCTACATAAAGTGCAAGAGGAGATAAAATAGCTACATAAAGTGCAAGAGGAGATAAAAGAGCTTGCTACATAAAGTGCAAGAGGAGAAGAGAGTGCTACATAAAGTGAGAGGAGATAAAAGTGCTACATAAAGTGCAAGAGGAGATAAAAGTGCTACATAAAGTGCAAGAGGAGATAAAAGTGCTACATAAAGTGCAAGAGGAGATAAAAGTGCTACATAAAGTGCAAGAGGAGATAAAAGAGTGCTACATAAAGTGAAGAGGAGATAAAAGAGTGCTACATAAAGTGCAGAGAGATAAAAGTGCTACATAAGTGAAGAGGAGATAAAAGAGTGCTACATAAAGTGCAAGAGGAGATAAAAGTGCTACATAAAGTGCAAGAGGAGATAAAAGTGCTACATAAAGTGCAAGAGGAGATAAAAGTGCTACATAAAGTGCAAGAGGAGATAAAATAGTGCTACATAAAGTGCAAGAGGAGATACAAGTGCTACATAAAGTGAGAGGAGATAAAAGTGCTACATAAAGTGCAAGAGGAGATAAAAGAGTGCTACATAAAGTGAGAGGAGATAAAAGTGCTACATAAAGTCAGAGGGATAAAGTGCTACATAAAGTGAGAGGAGATAAAAGTGCTACATAAAGTGCAAGAGGAGATAAAAGTGCTACATAAAGTGCAAGAGGAGATAAAATGCTACATAAAGTGAGCGGAGATAAAAGTGCTACATAAAGTGCAAGAGGAGATAAAAGTGCTACATAAAGTGCAAGAGGAGATAAAAGAGTGCTACATAAAGTGCAAGAGGAGATAAAAGTGCTACATAAAGTGAGAGGAGATAAAAGTGCTACATAAAGTGCAAGAGGAGATAAAGAGAGTGCTACATAAAGTGAGAGGAGATAAAAGTGCTACATAAAGTGCAAGAGGAGATAAAAGTGCTACATAAAGTGAGAGGAGATAAAAGTGCTACATAAAGTGCAAGAGGAGATAAAAGAGAGTGCTACATAAAGTGAGAGGAGATAAAAGTGCTACATAAAGTGAGAGGAGATAAAAGTGCTACATAAAGTGCAAGAGGAGATAAAAGTGCTACATAAAGTGAGAGGAGATAAAAGTGCTACATAAAGTGAGAGGAGATAAAAGTGCTACATAAGTGCAAGAGGAGATAAAAGAGTGCTACATAAAGTGAGAGGAGATAAAAGTGCTACATAAAGTGCAAGAGGAGATAAAAGTGCTACATAAAGTGAGAGGAGATAAAAGTGCTACATAAAGTGCAAGAGGAGATAAAAGAGTGCTACATAAAGTGAGAGGAGATAAAAGTGCTACATAAAGTGAGAGGAGATAAAAGTGCTACATAAAGTGCAAGAGGAGATAAAAGTGCTACATAAAGTGAGAGGAGATAAAAGTGCTACATAAAGTGAGAGGAGATAAAAGTGCTACATAAAGTGAGAGGAGATAAAAGTGCTACATAAGTGAGGAGATAAAAGTGCTACATAAAGTGAGAGGAGATAAAGTGCTACATAAAGTGAGAGGATATAGAAGTGCTACATAAGTGCAAGAGGAGATAAAAGTGCTACATAAAGTGAGAGGAGATACAAGTGCTACATAAAGTGCAAGAGGAGATACAAGTGCTACATAAAGTGCAAGAGGAGATACAAGTGCTACATAAAGTGAGAGGAGATAAAAGTGCTACATAAAGTGAGAGGAGATAAAAGTGCTACATAAAGTGCAAGAGAGATAAAAGTGCTACAGTAAAGTGAGAGGAGATACAAGTGCTACATAAAGTGAGAGAGATAAAAGTGCTACATAAAGTGAGAGGAGATAAAGTGCTACATAAGTGAGAGGAGATAAAAGTGCTACATAAAGTGCAAGAGAGATAAAAAGAGTGCTACATAAAGTGAGAGGAATAAAAGTGCTACATAAAGTGAGAGTAGATAAAAGTGCTACATAAGTGAGGAGATGAAAGTGCTACATAAAGTGAGAGTAAATAAAAGTGCTACATAAAGTGAGAGGAGATAAAAGTGCTACATAAAGTGCAAGAGGAGATAAAAGAGAGTGCTACATAAAGTGAGAGGAGATAAAAGTGCTACATCAAGTGAGAGGAGATAAAAGTGCTACATAAAGTGAGAGGAGATGAAAGTGCTACATAAAGTGAGAGGAGATAAAAGTGCTACATAAAGTGAGAGGAGATAAAAGTGCTACATAAAGTGCAAGAGGAGATAAAAGAGCTACATAAAGTGCAAGAGGAGATAAAAGAGCTTGCTACATAAAGTGAGAGGAGATAAAAGAGAGTGCTACATAAGTGAGAGGAGATAAAAGTGCTACATAAAGTGCAAGAGGAGATAAAAGTGCTACATAAAGTGCAAGAGGAGATACAAGTGCTACATAAAGTGAGAGGAGATAAAAGTGCTACATAAAGTGCAAGAGGAGATAAAAGTGCTACATAAAGTGCAAGAGGAGATAAAAGTGCTACATAAAGTGAGAGGAGATAAAAGAGTGCTACATAAAGTGAGAGGAGATAAAAGTGCTACATAAAGTGAGAGGAGATAAAAGTGCTACATAAAGTGCAAGAGGAGATAAAAGTGCTACATAAAGTGAGCGGAGATAAAAGTGCTACATAAAGTGCAAGAGGAGATAAAAGTGCTACATAAAGTGCAAGAGGAGATAAAAGAGTGCTACATAAAGTGCAAGAGGAGATACAAGTGCTACATAAAGTGAGAGGAGATAAAGTGCTACATAAGTGCAAGAGGAGATAAAAGAGTGCTACATAAAGTGAGAGGAGATAAAATGCTACATAAAGTACAAGAGGAGATAAAAGTGCTACATAAGTGAGGAGATAAAAGTGCTACATAAAGTGCAAGAGGAGATAAAAGAGTGCTACATAAGTGCAAGAGGAGATAAAAGTGCTACATAAAGTGAGCGGAGATAAAGTGCTACATAAGTGCAAGAGGAGATAAAGTGCTACATAAAGTGCAAGAGGAGATAAAAGAGTGCTACATAAAGTGCAAGAGGAGATAAAGTGCTACATAAGTGAGAGGAGATAAAAGTGCTACATAAAGTGCAAGAGGAGATAAAGAGAGTGCTACATAAAGTGAGAGGAGATAAAGTGCTACTAAAGTGCAAGAGGAGATAAAAGTGCTACATAAAGTGAGAGGAGATAAAAGTGCTACATAAATGCAAGAGGAGATAAAAGAGAGTGCTACATAAGTGAGAGAGATAAAAGTGCTACATAAAGTGAGAGGAGATAGAAGTGCTACATAAAGTGCAAGAGATATAAAGTGCTACATAAAGTGAGAGGAGATAAAAGTGCTACATAAAGTGAGAGGATAAAAAGTGCTACATAAAGAGCAAGAGGAGATAAAAGAGTGCTACATAAAGTGAGAGGAGATAAAAGTGCTACATAAAGTGCAAGAGGAGATAAAGTGCTACATAAGTGAGAGAGATAAAAGTGCTACATAAAGTGCAAGAGGAGATAAAGAGAGTGCTACATAAAGTGAGAGGAGTAAAAGTGCTACATAAATGGAGGAGATAAAGTGCTACATAAAGTGCAAGAGGAGATAAAAGTGCTACATAAGTGAGAGGAGATAAAAAGTGCTACATAAAGTGAGAGGAGATAAAAGGCTACATAAAGTGAGAGGAGATAAAGTGCTACATAAAGTGAGAGGATAAAAGTGCTACATAAAGTGAGAGGAGATAGAAGTGCTACATAAAGTGCAAGAGGAGATAAAAGTGCTACATAAAGTGAGAGGAGATACAAGTGCTACATAAAGTGCAAGAGGAGATACAAGTGCTACATAAAGTGCAAGAGGAGATAAAAGTGCTACATAAAGTGAGAGGAGATAAAAGTGCTACATAAAGTGAGAGGAGATAAAGTGCTACATAAAGTGCAAGAGGAGATAAAGTGCTACATAAAGTGAGAGGAGATAAAGTGCTACATAAAGTGAGAGGAGATAAAAGTGCTACATAAAGTGAGAGGAGATAAAAGTGCTACATAAAGTGAGAGGAGATAAAAGTGCTACATAAAGTGCAAGAGGAGATAAAAGAGAGTGCTACATAAAGTGAGAGGAGATAAAAGTGCTACATAAAGTGAGAGGAGATAAAAGTGCTACATAAAGTGAGGAGATAAAAGTGCTACATAAGTGAGGGAGATAAAGTGCTACATAAGTGAGAGGAGATAAAAGTGCTACATAAGTGCAAGAGGAGATAAAAGAGTGCTACATAAAGTGATCAGGAGATAAAAGTGCTACATCAAGTGAGAGGAGATAAAAGTGCTACATAAAGTGAGAGGAGATAAAAGTGCTACATAAAGTGAGAGGAGATAAAAGTGCTACATAAAGTGAGAGGAGATAAAAGTGCTACATAAAGTGCAAGAGGAGATAAAAGTGCTACATAAAGTGAGAGGAGATACAAGTGCTACATAAAGTGGCAAGAGGAGATACGTGCTACATAAAGTGCAGAGGAGATAAAAGTGCTACATAAAGTGAGAGGAGATACAATGCTACATAAAGTGAGAGGAGATAAAGTGCTACATAAAGTGCAAGAGGAGATAAAGTGCTACATAAAGTGAAGAGGAGATACAATGCTACATAAGTGCAAGAGATAAAGTGCTACATAAAGTGCAAGAGGAGATAAAAGTGCTACATAAAGTGAGAGAGATAAAAGTGCTACATAAAGTGAGAGGAGATAAAAGTGCTACATAAAGTGAGCGGAGATAAAAGTGCTACATAAAGTGCAAGAGGAGATAAAAGTGCTACATAAAGTGCAAGAGGAGATAAAAGAGTGCTACATAAAGTGCAAGAGGAGATAAAAGTGCTACATAAAGTGCAAGAGGAGATAAAGAGTGCTACATAAAGTGCAAGAGGAGATAAAAGTGCTACATAAAGTGCAAGAGGAGATAAAAGTGCTACATAAAGTGCAAGAGGAGATAAAAGAGTGCTACATAAGTGAGAGGAGATAAAGTGCTACATAAAGTGCAAGAGGAGATAACAAGCTACATAAAGTGCAAAGGAGATAAAAGTGCTACATAAGTGAGAGGAGATAAAAGTGCTACATAAAGTGCAAGGAGATAAAAGTGCTACATAGTGAGAGGAGATAAAGTGCTACATAAAGTGAGAGGAGATAAAGTGCTACATAAAGTGCAAGGGAGATAAATGCTACATAAAGTGAGAGAGATAAAGTGCTACATAAAGTGCAAGAGGAGATAAAAGTGCTACATAAAGTGAGAGGAGATAAAAGTGCTACATAAAGTGAGAGGAGATAAAAGTGCTACATAAAGTGCAAGAGGAGATAAAAGTGCTACATAAAGTGAGAGGAGATAAAAGTGCTACATAAGTGAGAGGATAAGTGCTACATAAAGTGAGAGGAGATAAAGTGCTACATAAAGTGCAAGAGGAGATAAAGAGAGTGCTACATAAAGTGAGAGGAGATAAAAGTGCTACATAAAGTGAGAGGAGATAAAAGTGCTACATAAAGTGAGAGGAGATAAAAGTGCTACATAAAGTGAGAGGAGATAAAAGTGCTACATAAAGTGCAAGAGGAGATAAAAGTGCTACATAAAGTGAGAGGAGATACAAGTGCTACATAAAGTGAGAGGATATAAAGTGCTACATAAAAGTGAGAGGAGATAAAAGTGCTACATAAAGTGCAAGAGGAGATAAAAGAGAGTGCTACATAAAGTGAGAGGAGATAAAAGTGCTACATAAAGTGAGAGGAGATAAAAGTGCTACATAAAGTGAGAGGAGATAAAAGTGCTACATAAAGTGAGAGGAGATAAAAGTGCTACATAAAGTGCAAGAGGAGATAAAAGAAGTGCTACATAAAGTGAGAGGAGATAAAAGTGCTACATAAAGTGAGAGGAGATACCCCTGCATTAAAGTGTAATTGATTGTCTATTTCAAAATGATTTGCTTCTATCTAGATAGGCCATGGTAAATATAGCTATATGGGCTATCCCATATCACAGTAGGCCCAATATTTAGAAAAAAACAAAAAAGTGAAAATATCATTATTTGTATTTTATTGTGCTGCTGACGAGAAGTCATAGTCATTTACAGACTTAATAAAACATCTTTGTTTGGTAAATATCTGCAATCAGTCAAGAAAATCTAAATTAGTTCATTTTTCCTAATTGTGCAGTCCTAGTTTGTTAGCGAGCTCTACTGATAAATGTTGTGTGTGTGTGTGTTATGATCTGGTCAACTAACGACTGCATGTGTTTTCAGCTGCGGCGCTCAGAAGAGGACGAGGAGAAGGAGGAGGACATTGAGGTCCCGAAGGCCATGGGGGACATCTTTGAGTCGCTGGCCGGAGCCATCTACATGGACAGCAGGATGTCTCTGGAGACCGTGTGGCAGGTGTATTATCCATGATGAGGCCACTCATAGGTGAGGAGGAGTGGAAGCGTCTTTTGTTTCTATTTGAAGCTAATTGTAGTTATCAGTGTGAGGATGATTCTGATGCCTTGCTCTCCATCCCCCGCCTCTTCCAGAGAAATTCTCTGCCAACGTGCCACGCTCTCCTGTCAGGGAGCTGCTGGAGATGGAGCCAGAAACTGCCAAGTTCAGGTGAGAGGAAAACGTTTCTCACAGGAATATGAAGATGTTCTCTTTTCTAACTTCATAATAATCATTGCAGCAATGCACAGATGAGAGGACCGCTTAATCATAACTGAGTTCATTCCATTTGAGCAAAAAGTCATGTTATATTCATTTTATAGCCTATTTTAGGAAATGTATCCAGAAAAGCTGTCACCTGCTTTAACAGCCCCCCCCTTCTTTTTAAAGGTGTGGGACAGGATGTTAAGGCGTAGATAAAAAGTCAACAGTTAGCTAAATACAAATGGTGATGATGCGTTTTAGCTCTGCGTGTCAGGTTTGTAAATCAGAATTGACTACTATCAGCTATTTTGCTTCGATCATTATGACAGGACTGTCTGATGAGCATTCCCCATGGCGTAAAAAATGCAGACATTTTTGCGATGATACCAGATTTTCTGCCAAATGTAAAATGATTTGCCTCGAAGAGAACTAGTTAAAATCGGTCAGAAATCCATTTAAAAATGAACTACATGGGATTTATTGGTGTATATCGTTTTTAACCATGTTCTCCAATTTGGTACCCAGAATCATGGATTAACACTGACATTGTTAAGATATCGTTTATAAAACTCAGCATTTCCCTGCAAATAAAAAGCTGAGAAAAAGGAGTGATTAGACATGGATAAAGGTTCAACTATTGATGGAGGAAGTGCTGTGGAAATACATCTCATACTGAGTATGCATCATTCAGGGAACAGAGAAATAAGAATGAGAGTAGTATCTTTAGTACCCGGCTGTGTGAGATTTAGGTCACCATTAGCCAGGTTCTGACCCCCCTCTTGCTCTGTGCAGCCCTGCGGAGAGGACGTACGACGGGAAGGTGCGGGTGACCGTGGAGGTCGTGGGGAAGGGCAAGTTCAAAGGAGTGGGCCGCAGCTACCGCATCGCCAAGTCTGCGGCGGCGAGACGAGCTCTGCGCAGCCTCAAAGCCAATCAACCTCAGGTCCAGAAAAACTGAGCTCACCCTCCGAGCTCCCAGCATTAGCACCTAAGCTACTGACGCTAACGGAGGACAATCAACACCGGCTTCCAACAGAGCGCCATGCAAGCCCTGCATCTTCAGCCAAGGCAGCCGGGGAACACTGTGGAGACGCAGATGAAGAAGCAGACTGATCTCATTACCATTTCATCAGATCTTTTTTTTTCCTTTTTCTTTTTTGCGCCTACACAATCTTTGCTTTCCCTCGCTCAGTGCTTTATTAACGTTTAGCAGTGTGTTTAAAAAAGGTCAGGTCGCATCGTCTGTTCCTCACCGTTTAGTGTTTGGTTAACCTCTATGCTGATGGTATGATGCTTATGCTTATTGTGTAGTATTAGATTGTACATAGTTCAATCAAAGGTGTAAATCAAAGTATGTAGGAAGAAGAAAAAAACGCTAAACTCCTCAGCCTGTGCACTAGTGCCAGTCAGTTTGACAGCGGCGGACGTGGCTAACAGAAACCACTGGAGCAAAACGCTGGTGGCACTTCTGTCTGAAATCTGTCTTGAAATGGTATTCTTAATCATTTTTGCACTTATTCCATTAGGGTCTGTTACTTCGAGAATCATGTGGTCACATTGACACCAGAATCATATACGTAGCAAAGTCTATCAAAATAATAAGATACATGATTGGTATTCTTAGCCTTAGTTGCTAAGATTCACCCTCATATCCTGCAAGACGGATAGGAATTCCAAGATTCCCAGTTACTGTAATTTAAAGTAGTTTATAAAGCGCACTTGAGGTTGCATGTTCTTGTAGTTTATGTATAAACCATGACAACTGGATTGCTTCTATAAATGTTCTGGATCTACGGATGTATCTAGTGTGAGCGCAACACTCAATGTAAACGGCATTACCTTGATGATTTGGTTTAACATGTTTTGATATCAAGAATGGAAGGAATTGAACATTCTTGCGCACTTAACGTCTTTCCAAGGATCATCCAGTTTTGATATACGAAGAGAAAGACGTATCACACGTTCAATATGCTGCAGACTTTTCTATATTGGATACTCGTGTAGGCTCAAAATCTTTTCAAATAGTCTTTGTGAAAAAGGCCAACTCATTTCACGTGTTGCTCACATCCTGTACCTACCAAAGCTCTAACAGATGTGACACTATGAAGTTAAAGGCGATTCCTGCGGAGAAGACACCAGCCTTTTTCTTTTTTCTGTTCGGACACATTTTGCTTCTCGCTAAATGTCCTGTCCCCCCCCCTCATCAATAAGCCCTTTTTTCACTTGAATACCTCAGTTAATTGCATGCATTTTCTTGTCTTTATATTTTTCTTTTCTTTTTGTTTGGTGCTATGTTTTTGTATTGAGCTTGAATTTCTCATCTTTTTTTGCACTGTAACTATAATACCTCTTTATTTGACCTTTTCATTATTTTGGAAATCTGTTTGATTTGGTTGTCCCGTTGGCCACCCCCCCCCCAAACTCCAGGTTGATTGGAGTGGATTATTAGATTTCCCCTCCTTCACTAGCTTTGAATTGAATTGGCTGAAAATCTGCATTTGAATTCTGGGTAAAAACAAACAGTATTGACAAATGGGTAAAAACCTGCAGAGGTAATCTGATTGCACTCTTAAACATTTGTATTTATATATAGGCAGAGAGTAAACTTGTATTTGTCCATAACAAAGGGTTCGAAGAGACACGTGCCACAAAGAACATGAATGAACAAAGAGCTAAAGTCAGATTGGTACAGTTCTACATGGGTTCAACTAACTATTGTGTAGGTCCCAGATGGGGGGGGGGGGAGCTACTAAAAATAATGTGAAATCACTCATCTGGTGCCACAGCCGCTCTATTTTATGTCTGTGACTGATGGAAACTAGGATCATAATTCATCTTGGCACCAATATCCAGCAGCATGTTTCTATTCAGGAGGGAGCAGTGCGATAGTCAGAACGGACTACGTTTTCTCGTAATGGCAATTTTCTTTTTTTTGTATATGTAGCACAATTGAGCATTGCACTTGGGCGCCATACTTTACCTCATGTCAGAGTGAAAGGGAGTGAAAGGTAGAGGAAGGCGAAGACGTGTATATATGATGTTGGGAGGACTAACTGGTTCAGGCTTGGCTGCTGTGTGGATGCTGGTTTAGCTCAGAGCTATTTAAAGAGACAGCAAGGGGCTGGGGGGGGGGGCTCCAAATGTGTTGCGGGGCATCATGTGACAAACACACTGTTAGAAAAATCTCTAAACGTGTATACTTCCTGTATCCTGCCTCAAACAGCTGTTTGGTGAGTCGGACTGGCACGTCCAATCATGAATGGGATCTTGGTTCAATTCACTTCTGGATTCTCCCTTGTTTCTTCTTCTGTGGTGTGTGAGTTTGACTGACCTTCCCCTTTATCAGAAACTCAAAGGAAAAATCCACCCTAATGTGCTTCTGTACTTGTGATGAATCCTGAGCCACTTTGTGAATTCCTTTGTACTGGAGCTTTTACTTTTCGAAACGAAACAAATGTCCAATTGTTCAAATTCTAAATTTGCAATCTGTTCTGTTTAAGTGCAAATATCTCAGAAACATGACAAGGCTCCAGAATCTGACACTGTGTTCCTGTAAGGAGTCACATACTAGTACATTGTATTTAATACATAACATCATACTTCTGTTGTGCAGCTCTGATAAATGTAGTGCAACAGGAAGTTCACTGTATCCCTCAAATGAAAAGGAGTAGCTGTAAAATATTAGCAGTCAATGGAAATACTAAAGTACAAGTACCTCAAAGTTTTAACATTAATTGTACTTTATCCCAGCTGGTGTCAGTTTCCTTAGCTGCTTATCAGACAAGGAAATGCCGTCGTACTGGTGCAAAATGATAAGAAAACCCTTCTGTTGGAAGCCAATCATAGAAAATCAAAGATGGTTATATGAAGAAGTGCTTTTCTGCCTTGTGTCTCCAGTAGAAGAGCTACACAATCACCACACATCTGAGCTGAGCAGGGACTGATGTGTGGGGCCGTGCTGCAGAATGATGGAACTCAATACGGCTGTCCTGAATCAGGGAAACTATCTGTTTAAAGATTAGTTCCTCATTTAGTTTAAGGATATTTCTTAATCATAATTACATCCACTGTGAATCAAAAGTCCTGAAAGGTCACTTTTTAAAGCTGCTGTATCTGAATGTGATGTGATACATTTGGCCAGGTATTGACAGGAAATGCATCAGCTAACAGGAAGTTGATCCCTGATAAGCAGCATGTGTTCCAACAGAAGAGTTTTGGGTGGATTTTTCCTTTAATGATCGCTCATGATCAGTGTTAGCAGAGAACAGAAATGCCTGATCAACAATGGGAGTGTGGGAGAGGAGATGGAAGCCAGCATAGATCCCCTGTCTGTTTGGGGGGGGGGGGGGGGGTCACGGAGCAGCAGAGCACCAGCAGGGGGGGCTAAGCGGTCGGAGCTGCAGTGTAAGGGACATGAACAGGACTCCTCACTCATACTGTAACTGTGCTGCAGTGTTTGCGGTCTGCACCTTATGGATCATAAAGACCTTTAATTGTGTTTGTTTGGACTTTTCTTTTTTATATAATTGTAGCCCAGTATATCTACAATAAAAGTAATGGTATGGTCATCATCTTTGCTTCCTGTGCTGTGTTTTGCAGATATACAAACATTTAGTAGTGCACGATGACTCAGCAAATACTGGCAATATTCTATGGTATTTGCTGAAACATGGTAAATTGTGTTCCTCGGATCATTCATTTGATAAATTGGCGATTCACTTAAACTTTATCTTACACAATTTGGCAAAAATGTCCTCTTACAAAATGATTTTCATTGATCCCTTAGACCAGCGGTTCTCAACCTGTGGGCCGTGGCCCCTAGTGGTCCGCAAAGGCATTGCAAGTGGGCCGCCAAATAATTGTGTTTTTTTTACAGGCTAAAGACACAAACATGGACATAACAATAACATATTGGAGATGACATTCCCATCTCAGACAAAAACAGAAGAAATAAAGATACAGTCAGTAGGATCACTTCAACATTTCACAAACTAAAATAGGTTGACAACCAAAAACCACCAAAACACAACATGGCAAGCATATTTATTGTTCCTTTAATACCACTCTTCGTTAGAGCTAATTATTTCCCATTTCATGGTGTGATGAGCCTTTGATTTTTTTTAGCAATAATTTTTTCCAAAATAAATGGTATTTTTTTAATCTAATCTTCAAACTCTTTACATTAAGATTACTCCTTGATTGACTTTCAAAAATATGTATTTTAGCCAGAAGAATAGTTGTATTTATTAACTGTGTGCGGACTTCATCTAAAAGCCCAAATAAAATATTAAAGGGTGTAAATGTAAATTCAATATTTGCCGCCAAATAATTAGCAAAACATGATTTGTGTGGAAACATTTTCATTATTAAGATTTATTTTTTATTTGAACCTCTTTTCCTTTCTCTTTCTTGATCCTCCTTAGCAACGGTCATTACAGTCCTTGGCAGCGGTCTGTTGTACTGGATTTACAACGTGTCACATGTTCTGAATTGACAAATCGGAACTTTATTTAGCCTCCGTATTGTTTATGGTTGAATGTGGGCCGCGAAAACATTTGGAAAAAACATGCGGAAATGTCGTCATCAGCAGGCCATCACGTGGTTTCCGAAAATAACCGAGTGACACGAGTAGATTTTAGCCGAGACCGGCGGAAAATATGTCTCAAAATTCCGTGTGTGTAAAAAGACGATCCACAAGCAGAAATGTGAGATCCGCGAGCAGAGATTTGAGATCCGCAAGCGCATTTTTGGTTGGCAAATACAAAATGGATTCGCAAATGCCTGATCGAAAGTTGTAAATGTTAAAGAGATATTCACAGATCTTTTTTTAATTTGTGAACATATTTAGCGTATTTGCAGATCCGTTTTACACTTGCACATTTATTTGTGAGTTTGCAAATCTTTTAAATGCATTTGTGGATGTTGTTTTACATTTCCAAATCACATATTTACACACAAATAATTTGTATGTTCACACAAATAATGAGACATATCTATGCCCATATGACGCGTTCCATGTAAGAGTCCGTAGTCATTTGTAGTCCATGGTGTTTAATAAAACAAAAACAAACAATATACAACTCCAGACCTGACGGTCAACAGAAAGTATCAGAGCAAATTCACCCTCTTCCTACATCATATCCTCCCAACCGGCATCCAACAGGTGACTAAATACCAATAAACCACACCCACGCGACCATTGCCGGAAGTGATAAACAATAAGAATGAAACGCGATGCAAACAGAAATACAAGATAATAATACAAATAATAAGTAAGGCAAAAACAAGCATTTTGGCTCCTACAGGCAGTATAAATCGACGAATCTGCGGCCTTAACTTTTGCTACACTTCTTGCGATGAATGTGTCGCAAAAGTCATTTTCACCTGTAGATGTGGGGGAGGGAGGGGGGTTGGAGCGAAGGGGCGGAGCTATCAGAACGACGAGGCTCGGGTCACAGTCACAGCCAGATGACTGCGGGGCTAACGGTCCGTGGTTGCGTTCCAATAGTCCATTTAGCTTAGGAACCTTCCTAACGGA